CAAAAATTTCGAATTTTGCAATTGCAGTGAATCCCTACCGAAAGAAAAAATTGGAATTATTAAAAAAAAAAATGAATGACGGCGGGATCGAACCCAGGCCGTCGGCGTGCTAGCCGAGCACGTTACCGCTAGGATAACGCATAATTATAATATAATAATTTCATTAGGAGTATATATATTGCAAAAGTTTCGTTTTAAAAAATGTCAAATTTTTCAATTTCACTGGATATCTTCTCGATTTTCAAATATTCAGTTTTTAAAGGATATTTCCATTAATTAGCCATTGATAAAAAAAAAAAAATAGGAATTATAAAAAAAAAAAAAATTAATGTTGGCGGGAGCGAACCCCAGCCGTCGGCATGCTAGCCGAGCTCGTTACCGATAGGACAACGCGCATTATTATGAAAATATATTTTTATTAGTGGTATATATTCAACATATTGAATAATTTTTTCCATTGAAATTCCACAAGATGTGGTTTCTTCCTTCCGCACGTTCTACAGTCGTCTCAAATCCAGTTAAACAAATAAAAAACAAAAAGCATTCATAGGGTAGAAAATAAAATTCACCCCGTCGACGTGATGAACACCCCAGCATTGCGTGTGGCGCCCTCCCTCTCTTGGGGTGCAGTATTACGATGCCGCTGGGGTCAGAACTCATCATATTTCTGGGTGGAACTCATCATATTTTATTAAAAATATAAAAATTCAATTGAATTCCTTTTCAATGCTAGAAAAAATCAGACTTTTACGATAGCTTTTCCGACGTTATCTCCCTTCAACATTCCAGTAAAAGCTTGAAAAGTATTCTCGAAGCCTTGAGTAACTGTCTCTCGGTACTTGAGCTTTCCCTCCTGGATCCACTGGAGGTTCTGATTGATTCCCTCCATCCACCGGTCCAGCCAGTAGACAACACGAACCCCTCGGATTGTCAATTGCCCTGTCACCAGCCCCGGCTGGATTATCGTCGCTTTAGGAAGAGTTGAAATGTCCCTTTCGTCGTCGTTGTAGGAAGAAATACTGCCGCACACCGAAACTCTTCCCATTAGCTTCATCTGATAGATTATCACGCTGGAGATCTGTCCACCCACCTATCAACACCATTCCATCATTGATTTATTTATATAATTATTTATTTATTGCAGATTCTCTCACATTGTCGAAGAAGCAATCGACTCCTTCAGGGGCTGCTTTCCTCAGCTCATCCCCGACGTTCGATAATTTGTAGTTGATCGCATGATCAAAACCCAATTCTTCAGTCAGCCATTTACATTTTTCGTCGGATCCAGCGATTCCAATGACCTTCATACCTTTTATTTTGCCAATTTGTCCCACGTGGGATCCAACAGCTCCAGCAGCTCCGGTCACGACTAGAGTCTCGCCGGGCTGTGGATTGCACGTCTCGAGGAAACCGAAGTACGCGGTATTTCTTTGAATAATTATGAAATTATTGTGCGTGAAGTACTAATAGCAGGGATTATTTATTCAGGAATAAATTACCCTGGCATTCCCACAGCCCCAAGTGCTACAGATGGTGGAAGATTCCCAAACTCTGGAAGAACATACGGAATTTGATTGATCAGACTTGCTCCAGAGAATTCTTTCCCATCGAGAATAGTGTGGGTCCTCCATCCCAGCCATCCAGCTACTCTCTTCCCCACTGGATAATCAGGATTTTTCGACTCAATTATCTTCGCCACCTGGGAACCAATCATCGTTATCCCCAGTGGAAATTTGGTGATGTATCTTCGTTGATAGGGATCGACTGATATGTATTCTGCCTGTGTCAAAAATTCTGAGACGGAAAATTTATTTTAAACCAATTGAAAAAACTATCTGTAGAGCGAAAAAAATTAATTAAATGTGTCTCATTATTACCTCCATCTTTTATCGGTCTCAACTCTTCCTCAACGATTTTCAGGTCTGATGCCTTGGGCTCTCCTTGGAAATGTTTCACAACAACAAATTTTTTGGCAATTTCCATGGCTGTGGTGTAATAACTTCGACTTATAATGTTCACTTTCAACGGCATTCTAGTTTCGAACTCTTTTACTAGTAATCAACCGCACTGATATGCCAAATGTGGAGGGGGAACTCACTCCAAATAAATATTACATAACTACGTGATCGCGCAATAATTAATCTAATATTTTTCTCAAGGTGAAAAAATTGCAGTCGATGACTATTAAAAAATTCATGACTCATTAATATCCTGGCAGTGCCTGAATTCTTTCCTTTATTTAATATAATTCAATAATTATAGTTATCTTCATCTCTCATTAATATAAAATATTTACAGTTTATGATTCATTAGATTGGAGTACTAATCAAGGCTGATGGCAGTGTTTGTACCAGTAACTTTTAATAATTTATTATCGGAACTCTTGGATATCCTGAGCCTCTCAGCAGGTTTTAGTATTTCCGCTATTATCTTCTCGTCGCTGAGTTTTTCAGTTTTGTCGGCTTTCTCGGGGGATTTTAATTTTGCACCAGTGTCCCTCGTCTCACTAGTAAGCTCAGAGGTCGTTGATGAGGGTGATTCGACCTCTGGTATTGTCAATCTTCCATTGACTCGTCGCTTTGAGGGGCTAATGTTTAAATCTGTGGAGAGACCTGTGGACGTCGGTTGCACAGGATTCTCCTCTGTGCCAATGGGAATCTTAAGGATTTTCATTGGTTCCAGGTAGAGAACGTCGAAGGAGACGTCCAGGAAGAGTTCCTGGAGGAATCTCCTGGCTGGAAGTCTGTAGGTTCCACTCCCAAGGCGAGAAGCTACTTCTGAGAATAGACAGGTGTCTTGAAATTTCTCAGGATACCTCTGCCTCAGTCGTAACAATGTCTGCCGACTGTGTCGATACCACACCGGGTTAGACAGCCTCTGAGCATGTCTCAAAATTTCCCTTCTAATTTTGGCATCGCCCTCACTCACCTCGTCATCCCACTGGTTCCTGCCATTATAACACACCAGACAAATCCTGCAGTGATCCCCAGCCTGTCCCTCGTCCTCCTCATCTCCTTGGCTGTTCTCCCCATCGCTCCTGTTTCCCTCGTGAGCTATTCCTGTCCTCGTACTCGATGAAAAGATCATCTGAAGGGTCTTGGGGAGACAAATCCCCATATAACAAGTGTCCCCGGGATCCTCCTCCCTAGTAACGATAGCAGGAGGCGTCAAAGAAGTTGGATTATCAGTGGTCCAGCTCCTAGAGGACTCAAACTCGGACAGGCTCTGCAGCGAGAGTCGACCATCAGAGCTATACATCTCCAAGCTGCTGTGAGAGAAACTGGGTCTTCTGTGCATCTGATATCTCCTGAGTTTGGCGTATCCCTCAGCATCCTGTTGGCTGAGCCTCTGTACACTCGATACCGGACTGGGTGTTTCTCCTCTTTCAGGAAAGGCCAGTCTCTTGGTCTCGATATCAGTGACAGCGCTTTCAGATCTGTTTCTCGTTCTTCTGACGATGGGATCTGGAAGCTCGGGCTTTCCATCACTCAGACTCCTGTGATGCTTCTGAATGGGCACAGGACTGGGTACAGGGAACTGTGGAGTTGGCTGGACAATGGGCCACTGATCTCCCCGTCTGTACCTCACACAAGGCCAGTCATAGAGAGCCAGCACGTCAGCCCCCGCCCTCGTAGTGCTGATCAAACTCAGTGCATACATGGCAGTTGCTCTGACAGCGTATTGTTGGCAGCTCTCAGCCAGACTGGTCATCATCTCCACGAGTTTGTGATTTTTCAGCTGCTCAACTCCAGCAGGGGACGTTCCATAGTGGCCAGCGCTCCAGAGGGCTGCTTTCACCTTGAGAATTCTCTCCTCGGTATCCAATCCCTCCTGATCATCCCCACTTCTCTCTGGCGTCGTCCTCTGAGAGTCCACGTGGAAGGACTCCTTCCTGACGGGTCGCGGTACAGTCTCCATCACCTCGGCGTCTATAATTGTCTCCAGTCTGTGCTCTGAGGCCTCCTCAGGGCCAGATTCCTCAGACATGAAGTGAGTTTCATCAAATCCTGATCTACTGCTCTTGGTCGCCCTCGAGTATGATTCACTATCCGTTCCGGCGAAGTCAAGTATAAACTTTTGAATTGTCCTGGCAAGCCTCTGCACTACATTCTTCCTCGTCAGTAATTGCATCCCCAGTTCGTGCTGGACTAGCTGCCCCAGGAGATGAGGAGGTATGAGAACGTCCTTGGGCAGCACCAGCATGTTAGTCTGTCTTCTCAAGTAGCTCCCATTCTCCCCCCTTTGTCGCCTGGTGAACGAGTCGTGAATCTCCCTCTCGAGGAGGCCTACGTAAGTCTCGGCGAAGCCACCAGGCTTGATCCACTTCTCGAGTTCCTCAGCAGGTGATGGAAGCCTCGTGCATCCAGCCCTGAGCGAGTAGAATCTTATATTAAGGAGATAGCCACGATCCCCCAGGTGTTCTAACCACTTGTCCCACGCCCTGCTGTGTCCTCCTTGATTGAGAAATGTCTCAAGATACTCTGGCTCCTCACTGGCCTCGTGGAGGGCCTCAAGGGCTGCCAAAGCCACTGTTCTACTGTCATCCGACAATCTCCCAGTCAACAGAGTCAACGCCCACTGAAAAGCATCGTTCATTCTCGCTCTGAGAATGAGCCTCAAGAACTGTGTAGCATACAGACGAGTCTGCTCCAGCAATCCTGATGATACGATTTTACTGAGGACCTTCCTATTGGGCCCCTCCCTCGTGTAATCGAGACTCGAAACAATCAGTTTCACGTAGCAATCGTGGTTTGTGGAAATAGCCAAATCCTCCATTTTCTCCAGGAGATTAAAAGCCTTGAGAATGACAGTTCCCTTGGCTGATTGGCTCAATTGCCCGAGAAAGAGAAAGTATTTTTGACAGCAAGTGGTGGTCATGTGTCTCGGTGAGAATAAAGAGTCATGGGCAGAGGATTGAGTGGTAATCGCTGATATTTGCTCAGCAATATCCCCGATGAGTTCGTTGAGCAGCCTAGTCCCCTCTGGCTCCTGAATCTCCAGCAAACAATTGACTAAATCACAACCAGCGAGAGTTGCTTCTCTGGTGAGTGTCACACTAGTACCAAGTTCGACTCTGCTGTACCTGTTGGAGGAGGGCTTGAAGTATCTGACGAGTCTCTTAATGAATAACCTGTGGTCAGAGTCGTGAAAGATCCTAAGTGAGTCCTCCCTCGATCGCAGGATCGATCTTATTACCGGCCAATTCCAGGCGAGGGCGTCCTTGGAGCTCAACACTTGAGCGTCCTTCAATAAAGGAGTAGTTGGTGACTCTCTCCTCAGCCAATTCCTGCTGGACGTTCTCTGTCGTCTGGGGGCTGAGGGCCTCAGCCAGCTGCCGGCCTGTAGAATCCTATCCAGAAAGAGACTAGAGGGTGCCGGCCTCCTCCTCATCATCGAGTGCATTCTCCCTAGGATGGCAACAGCCGCTAGTGCCTGATGCCTCCCCACACTGGCGTGTTCAAGTAAATTCGGAAGCGGTGGCGTGAGATCGCATACGTCCGGTGGAAGCAGCGAGTGAGCCAGATGAAGAACAGCCCCCAAGAGAACAGCAGCTCGAACGGATATGAATGTGTCAGAGGTGACGATGGTCTCTGCAAGGGCTCTGTGCAGTCCACACTCCAGGAGAACGTAAACCAGAAGAGCTAAATGAAGTTCAGTGATATTAGGACAGTGGGAGGCCAGTGGAGGGAGGATAGACCGTCCCTCTGCAGCGACAAAACCTTCGGAGAGCCTCCATTCGTCCTTGGGCCGGCTGGGATCGACTGCAGCCAGTGCCACGTCAGGCTCGTCAGTCCATATGGGCAGAGGCAGCCCCAGCAGCTCATAGAATAATTCCAGCACAGCTCCACGCACCTCCAGCTGCTCCACATAAAGGATATCTGCTATGGCCTTGAGGCCTGAGTTGTCATGGGGATTGCAGAAATTCAAAACACCTGCGTACGACCTGAGGACACTCAACAGAGCAATTTTACTGGCTGAAAATATGGATTCTCGGCTATCCCGCGATCGATCGTTTAGGGATGAATGAATCTCGCAGTATGGAGCTGCCAAGGATAGGAGAGAGACACACCTCCGGGTCTCTGGATTCCTCAGAAGGTGCAGGAGAACACCAATCACGGACTCCACCATTGATGGGCTCAGTCCTGTGGTGGCTGAGCGAATCAGACTTGCCACTCCTCCACAGCTTATCAGGAGAGAGGAGTTCAGGACTCCTAGCTCGCAGAGGGTCGCCAGAAACACTCGGAATGTTCTGTCCTTCTCCTCGACTCCTCCATTGGTCAGGCTGATGAGGGACCGAGCCAGGACTGGGCTGAAATGCCTCGGCGAAAGAACCAGAATTCGTCGAACAAGGCGCAACGCCTGCATGCGCTCCATATCATTCCTCAGGTTTATGTCCATGCTACGAGCGATGAAGTAAGGATACTGCAGCTTATTCAGGGTCAGGATATCCTCGTGCTTCCTCAGGAGAAATCGTATGGAGCGAAGAGCTGCTGCACGCACCTGGGTTGCCTCGTGGATGAGACCCACTCGCAGGCAGCACAACAACTTCTCGGAGGACAGACCGTAATCCAGGGTGGCATCCTCGCTCACCAGGCGAACTAAGGCGTTTAAATAGCCTAGCTTTTTCACACTCGAGACTCCCTGACGGAGGCATATGTGGGTGAGAACTTCTTTCACGTTCTCCGCGAGTTCTGGAAGATTAAACAAAATTTTCAAGTACAGACTAGAAACAGGATAAATAAATCTCCAGAATAGTTCATAAATATCCCGGATCCTCAAGGAATAAGCCCCGAGGGAGGGTCTGAGGTTAGGGAACTAACCCTTTGACAGATCAAGCTGAATGTGACTGTTCTCGTGGTCCTGGCGATCTGCAAAAGAAACCCAGAAAAATAACAATCCACCTGCAAACCAGCCGTTGAAACAATTCACGCAAATAATGAACTTACATCGTTGCGATCTGTTATTGCGTAGGCTTCTACCCCGGATCATCCAACTAGAGATTGCCATTTTCGCGCCGGTCGCTAACCACGTTCACAATTAACACATCTAGTCCGTTCAATCCACCCCATTGGCACGATAACCATCGTCATCATCCAATTGACAACAAAATAAATACAAGTAACACCGATCACAAGTTATTCACGTGATAGTGCCAGCACGAGGCGAATTTAATTTGTTATTGATGAAACTGCTGGTGGATTTTTTTTCGTCGAAACAAAGTGTCACACTTAAAATGCCAGGGGTATGAAAACCCACTCACTACTGATGCCCTCTTCTTCTCCCCCTTTCCTCGTACCCATCGGCTACATCTATTGGACTTATGTTTGCGTGTATGATTTTGAGGGGACGCCCGATTGGTTGGGCTCTGGTCACGCCGGAGAGTGGCAATCCCTTGGTTGTACATACGTGTTCAGCTAACGACGGTTAAACCTCCATTAAATGGTTGTTATTATAAGTTATTATCAGTTTTATTTTGTTTCGTTCAGCAGTGCAGAATTCAAGTGGAACGAAAAGATCTTATAAAGTAGTGGCAAATTTGTATATTCCATCCATTTATCCAAAATTGAATGACCACTGACGTATCCTCGTACCTTTAAGCCATGGGCATTAAAATTCCTTGGTTTACTATTGTTGCCGAATATCGCAGCTCATCCCTAACCTCCCTTGACAATAAAAAGTTATCTGACATTATCCAAGTAATATGGAATGGTCGCCTAGCACCTTAATCTGACTTTTACCGTGCATGATTTCCGAAACGAATATAATCATTGATATATAATTACGAGGGAAGAATATTCAGTCAACCTAAAACAGAATATTAATATGTGGAACCAGAAAATTTATGTCTAAGAGAAGAGACTTGTAGGTGTGTTGTGCAGTGAGTTTTACGCGTAATCCTGATATTTCAAATAATTCCAGCTCCGGAAGCCGGATCACAGGTTATTTAAATATTGGATTATTTTTTAATGCACTGATTGAAACAGCAAGATATCCGAACATTTGACGGGTTCATTGATTAATTAATGGAAAAACTAGCAAGAAATTGTGGAAGTACTGGGAATTCTGGAATGCAGGGATGGTGAGGGTTATGAAGTTTTCTCATCAGATTATTGTTTTTTTTTTGTTTTATTTACACGAGGTATGTGCATTTGACGAAAAAAAATATGTATACATATTTTAAGAGATGTATTAAAAGAGCGAACGAGCCAACTAACCATTCAATTAATTTATTAAAATTTGGTAGAAACTTTCGTGAATATGTCAAACCAACTATAAAGAGCAAAACTATATGTGAATATTTCCAGATGAGGTGACACATATCCTTGAGATGCGGAACAGATCGATTGGGTTTATATTTTTATCTGTATTGGTATGGGCATGCATCACATACTTTTTGTTCCTTGATCGACCGATTGGAAAAGAAGAACAGAAGGTATCTGGATTCAGCCTCTTTAATTACTACCATTTTTGCAAATAACGCGAGTATTTAATTACAGGAACATGCTCTATCTAATCAGATTGACAAATTGAAGAAACAAGTCAAGCAGCAGATATCAGAGAATCAATTACTTCTAGAGAAGATTGTCGAGCAAGGACAAAAAAGTTAGTTTACGATCTATGGATTAATGATTTTGATTAATGAGTAGGTATAAGGACTGATTGGATTTTAGGAATAGTTGAGGATGGCTTGCCTGACACGATCGAATTCCAGTCTGAAAATAATATCCATGATTTAGATAAAAACGTCATGAAAATTGGTAATGATCATTATGTTAAGAGTACTTCCAAAAATGAGGGAGTACAAAATGCACTGGGGAACGACCAGAAAAATCAGGTAAAGTAAATCTTTCAAAATATCAAAGACGAAATTACACAGGTAATTGTCATTTTTTATTTTTCATAAATCTAGGGTGCTTCACCGTTCGAGAAATTACGGGCCCTTGCCCTCCATAACCCGTCAAACGGTGGAGCTCCAGTAATTCCAGTGATAGTGTTCTCATGCAATCGAGTAACCGTCCGTAGGTGTCTGGATCAGTTAATAAAATTGCGCCCCAGTGCCAATCAATTTCCAATAATTGTTTCACAAGATTGCAACCATCAACAAACATCAGATGTTATTAGATCGTATGGAGAAAAAGTGGTACATATTCAGGTGAAACAAAAAATTATTAGCACACGGAAGAAAGTCATTGTTGATATGGGAGAGATTTTTTTTATGAATGATTTTTTTTTATGTTTAGCAACCAGATCAGTCTGATATAGACATTCCACCCCGAGAAAAAAAATTCAAAGGATACTTCAAAATCGCACGTCATTATGGATGGGCCTTAAACCAAGTATTTCTGGAGTTCGGTTTTGAAACTGCAATTATCGTTGAGGGTAATAAAAATATATAATATATAATGCAGAAAAATGCTCTTGATTCTCGTTAAATCGACTGACGCTCGATGATTAATTTTCTAGATGATTTGGACATAGCCCCAGATTTTTTTGAATACTTCTTAGGCACTTATTCACTACTAATTGCTGATAAATCCTTGTGGTGTATCTCGGCTTGGAATGACAATGGAAAGATGAGTTTAGTTGACACTCATGCACCCCATTTATTATACCGAACGGATTTTTTTCCGGGCTTGGGGTGGATGCTCACCAAAGAGTTATGGATGGAATTATCACCAAAATGGCCAAAAGCGTAAGGAAATTAATAATGCAGATGTCTCATTAAAGCCGCCATTATTTTATCACTTTTAGATTTGCCCGAATTTTTCACTCGTTAAAAGTCACATATGATGAGTAGAGTAAATACGATTTGAATGAATGGAAAAATCGGCAAATATTTCGATTATTTTATAATTGCTGGTATATCATCACTGAAATTTTCTTTTAGTTATTGGGATGACTGGATTCGTCAGCCTGAACAACGTAAAGACAGAGCTTGTATTAGGCCAGAATTATCGAGAACCAGAACATTTGGCAAAATTGGCGTCAGCAAGTATGTTTGCAAATTGTTAAAAAAAAAGTTATGATCAGTACAAATTCAGATTCGAAAGCGACAAAAATTCCAAAAATTATAATCTCGTCTGATTTTTCCCCAATTTTTCAGCGGATTATTCTATGAAAAACATCTGAAGTTTATAAAACTGAATGATCAAAGTGTGCCTTTTACTAAAATGAATTTAACGTATTTATTGAAGGTAAGTGGAATGACATCAATCATCTTTAACTTTATTGATTTATAATTTCTTAACGTGCACGTCAATTCATGGATTTCAGAATAATTATGACATCGATTTCATGAATGATGTTTATCAGACGACAGTAGTTAGCTATCCAGAACTAAAGAGCGGTAATATTATTGCTTCCGGTCCAGTGAGAATACCTTATTTTAATCGCGTAACTTATAAAACTACTGCCAAGATGCTTGGTCTCATGGATGATTTCCGAGTAAGTGAAAAATAATTATTTTGTGCTGTCATACATTATTGTAATTTTCGAGTGATCACAGCAGTTGTTTTGAAAAAAAAAAATCGTTTCTAATCATGCCTTACAGAGCGGTGTTCCAAGAACTGGTTACCGTGGAGTTGTGACATTTTTTTACAACAATCGACGTGTCCACTTAGCTCCCAGCAGAGACTGGAATGGGTACGATATATCATGGAGCTAACACATGAATGATTGTCTTCAATGTTTTTTTTTGTGATTTTTGAGTGTCGGGTTTATCTAACTATTACCTGATGAGACTTGTCGAACGCCAAAATAGGAAGTCTACCAAGATTTAGAAAGCTGAACGATAATATAGTCGATTGAAACTATAATTCCGTTTAAGTTTGTTGACTGAACTTTGAATCATTCTATTTATGGATTTGTTTTGATAGATATTTGATTACGTACAATTGTCGTAATAGAAAAAATGTTTGGAGTAAAAATAATTGGCTGTATAATGTACATTTCATTTTCCTCAACGCAAAGACTGTTATGGGTTTTTAAAGACTCATACCAAAATTAAAAATAAATTGTGAAGCTCTGTGGAATTACGATATGAAGCGGTGATGATGTTTGGAGTGTAATGGAGAGATCTGTTTGATTGTAAGTGAAAAGAAAAGTTTCAACTCTGTCGTCGTGAGAAAACACTACCTCCCAATTCCAAATTTCGTAGACATTCGAGATATGGAAAATGATAGAATAAAATTGGGGCATTCCTCCTGAATAAATTTTAACGCTTTTTACTCCTGAATTTCTCGATTAGCGTTGGAAGTGATGGAACAGTATTTTTAATGTGCAATGATAGTGAATAAAAAATGTTGTATAAATAATAAATAATATAAAGCGACTACCAAGTAATGTTTTATTTCTGAAAGAACTCACTTTTTTTCCTATTTTTGGATTAAAAAACGAAATATTAAATATGGCAATTTTTGATTTAATTACAATGTGCAGAACCGACTGACTTTTTCAGTGTCGTTCCATGCGCAATAAGTTACATATTAAGATAAAGAAATTCTAAGATTGTTAAAGAACAGCTAATGGGCTAGGAATATTTTATTTATATCTCCTTTACGATTGAAGATAAGACGTATAACGTGTTAAACAACCCAGCTATCCATTGTTCCTACAAAAGAGATACGCAATTAAAGATTTCAAATTATTATTATGAAGAGATAACGACGAAATGAATTTAAAAAAAAAAAACGTCTACAATATTTTTTTGCGTGTTTTTTTTTGTATATATTTCTCGATGTAGAATTATCTGGTTACAAATATAGGGAAAATGTGATGAAAAGTTTACTCACGTCTGGTTGAAAAATTATGGTGACGCGTGACTCTTATGTGAATATCCTGCGTCTCTCCTACAACCGATATTACCTATGAATCTTTCTATTTTTAATAAAAAAATTCTTTTGGGTGGTGGTAAAACAATAGTTACGCTTAGTATTAAAACGCATACTTTACTTTTAATCGCGCAATCACAGTTATTTACTCTATTGAAAAACTCCTAAGATTAATAATTCATCGATGACAGAGGGATTACAATAACATTCTCAAGGAATTTTTATTTTGATTCTTGAAAAATTGACAAAGAAAAATTAAAAACTAATGTTTACCATACACTGAGGAAAAAAAAAATCACTGATAAAATCATGCGAAAAAGTGATAAAAATTCATATTGTCTCGTTTTTTTATTGCGGTCCATTGGGAATTATTGCAAGAAAGGGATTGATTAATCAATTATTCTCAGAGGTAGATGGTTGCGATTGTATTCTAGCAATAGGTGGTGGGACACTCGTTGTACCTGTATCGGCAACTCGAAACTTTGGCATGTCGCACTGTTCACATTTGTCCATTAATGGATGATTGTCGAAAGTGCACATGCGACAAACCCACGATGGACCGTCTCTGTCATCTCTATCATGATGCGCGGGATTACCTCGTAAGTCTCGAGGCTCCCAAGCTGGTGGATTGGTCGGTAACGGGGGTTGGGGTCTCAGACTGAACGATGGGATATTGAGAGATTGTCCTGTATAAATTCCCTGGTAGAATTCTTCGTTTGTTTCGCCGAATGGAACTGTAAAATATCCCCAGCATCATTTTCCATTCTGTGAAACTTTTTCTAACAGTATACTTACCTCTTGGATCGGATCTTTGATCGACTTCATCAGCCAATCTATCGCATTCAACTTGAAGCTGATAAATTTCACTTCGAAGCTTTGTCTTCAGTTCCTGATTAAGAGTATTTCCCTAATTAATTACTAAATTTATCTATGAATTTGTGTATTAATTTTGAAATTTTTTATACTTGAGGAGACACAGTAGGATCCACAGGCCTCAAGAGAATTTGAAGATCCTTTTTCATCGTTTCCAATCTTGTTCTCTCCATCCTCAGTTCATGGACTAATCTTTCTTTTCTTTTCAGTTGTTCAGTGACTCGTTTTTTCTGATGGTCCGCGACTGCAGGAATTGTTACAATTATGTTTAATTGAAATTTTTGAGAAATCCGCATTGCTGGCTTACCTTGATTTAATGGTGTTCTATTACGATTAGTGCTTATACAAGCGGTCGTTTGGGGAGAAGTCATTATGGATGATAAATTGGAAGAATTCTGAAAGGTGTTGGGGATTGTGACACCAATAGTTAATGGTCCAGTTGGTGAAGAAATCATAGTTGGTTTTGTGAGTTGACTAGAAGATAGAGTCGCGGCTACAAAAAAAAAAGATTATTTTACATTGGAAAAATAATAGTCAACGGAAAATGATTTTCACTTTGTCAATTTTTAATAGGGTCATTTAAAAAAGCAACCTGTCGATTTATTCGATGTATTCTGAATGGCTGACACCAATGAATTGGGCCTCGTAACACCCATTCGCGATTTTATTCTCGCTGCAGCCACGTTGCCGACTTTTCCAGGACCGATACTGATTAACAAGCGGCTTTGAAAGCCTCTACAATCTGACGAAGAAGTTGTATAAGTTAAGCTTGACCCTTGAGATTGTATATCGATAGGAGGTTGTGGCTCAGAGGACGGGGGTCTGAGAATTAAACTAACAGACGTGTAACCCCGCGTCTGATCTAAGGTTTCAAGTCTATGGTTCACTGCCAGTCTTGATTCTTTATGATGTAATTGTGATTCATCACTCACATTACGCCGGTCTAGAAAAGGTCTGAGGTCTGTATAAAAATCTGTAATGAAAATAATATTGGAGCGGTTGATTTCACAGTTTTCAATGAATAACGGAATCGTTTCATTGGATAATATGAATATTACGAGCTTTACAAGCAGGACGGCAAGCGACATTGACATTGAGTTGGAATCCCCTTGTCAGTTTATCTCCCACTGGTCTATTCACCGAATCATCTGGAACGTTAATCGTCCTCCTTGCTGATAAGTCGTCGAATAAACTCTTCGAAGAGTAATTAGTAGAACGTAGAGGAGACGGTGTTGGTGAAAATTGAGCTCTTGGATAATTAGGACTGACACACCGGCGGAATTTCCCAATACTTAGGGAATTGGCTCGCTGCGGTCTAGGATGATTCAGATAGGAATTTTGGATTATTTTCCTGTCTCTTTGGTCTCCAATATTTATATCATATCGCGATGGTAGTGGTTCAGGCGCGATCGGTGGAAAGGCACCAGGAGATGAACGAGAAGCCTGTGCTGCGCGTAAACTTCGTGTACATACCTCCCTGTCGTAGCTATTCTGAAACACATTTAATTGTCACGTAATTTAATCCTCGAAAAAGCCAATAGAAAATGAATAGTCCTGCAAAATACCTCTTCTGGAATTCATTCCGATCGATAAAATCACAGAAATTCTCGTTATATTAGAAGAAAGTAAATGCAGGCAACGCAAATATATATTTAGAAGTCAAAAAACTTGTGAGATTTCTATATTCAGCGCGACGATCGTGAAGAAGACTTGCATTTCCCTTAAAAAGGGTTCTATGATGGCTATATTCTCCAGGATTCAATTATACATAATCTCATATAACGTATTGAATGCATGTCACATTAGTACCTCAAAACTGAAACGAAGAATGGATGAAGGGTTACGACAATTAGTAGGAGAATGTAAATGGACACACACGTAGCATTAGAGTATTTTAATTTGAGTATTCGTCATTGGCTTCCGACGATTTTTGAAGGTCGAACTCTTGGTGTACCTGGGCGATGCACTGAGATACTATGTAGTCTGGCAAAGCTGGAAATTGTTGCTTCAATTCATGGAATAGCTGCATGATCACGATGTTAGAGCAATGACACTCCTCCATTGTAGGACGCCATTCTTCTGGCGAAGACTACTTGCACGAATTCCTAAATCGAAATATCACATATTTCAAGGGTATTTGAGGTATTTTAATAATTCATTTGGTTCCAGTCAAACCGCCCGCGCAAATTCTTTCCAACATTAGTTTCCTGATCTTATTGTTAATGACGAAATTGTCTATAATTTTCATCTCCTCCAAAAAATTGAATTATACACGTTCTTACAGGATAAGTTTTTACGATTCGGGAAAAATCCTGATTAAAAAAAAATGTCATTCTCTTCCAAATTTAATTACAGAAAATAATGAGAAAGAAACGAGTGAATACAAACTTCGCCTAACATATCAACTTACACAACAACAATCATTGAGATGCTCCAGAAGGAATTTCAACGTACACAAAAATCTATGATGGTGAAAATTCAAGTTTCGGTTGATTTTACACGTATAGGCGTAGGTGTGAGAATTTCAATTAATACAAATCAAATGATGGATGGGATTCACTTCTTCATTTTATACTCCACTTAGTGAGAGCACAATTATTATTCGAAAGACTTTTTTTTATTTCTGGAATGATTGATGTATATCAGTAATATCTCACCGTCGGTTGCTGATGACCGATCAGCTGTTCACGTAGTGTAAGACTACGTATGTCAGCCAAGCCTCCAAATGAACGAAAATAATTCCATACGAATACCATTATATCATATACTAGCGCCGCCACGTTCATATGAAATTCCCGTTTTCAAATGCATGCGCCAATCTTTTACGAGAATGATTACCGATGTTTTCATAATTACTGATTAATCATATGCTCAGGGGAATCGAAGAGGTATTTTTTAACTTGTGATATTTTACGCGAGCTCTTGACACTACATCGTAAAAATAATATTAATAATACAGATAGTGGAAATATGCACAGTTGCAATCAAAGACATAAGTAATGTAAAAAGTGGGACTTATTGGGTAGTAAAAATTGCTAATTTTTCATTGTACGAGTAACAGTTTAATGACTCATATTTCGTTATAACTCTCAAATGGTCTGATGATTTGTTTCCGATCCGTATTTAATAATTCACCATTTTTTTTTTTAATTGAATACAACAAAGGAAATTTTTTGCGATTTATCGGATTTTACAATTCATCCTGAACTGAAACAAAACGTCGTGACGGAGCAATGCCAGCAGGACACGGTAATCCCTCCCAGAATTTGATCCGATAGCTAAAAAGATCTTCGGACATGGATAAATTTTTCGGCCCGGCAATCAATAAATATTCCAAGTGCTCACTGGAGACTGGTTCCCATTTGATACCCATCAGGGGTGATTTATCAGGTTTCATCGGATTTCTAAAATACTAGATCCATGTAAAATCCGTCATCCAAACATCAATCATATTTTTCAAAGGCTTATCAATAAATACCCTGTCTGTGCGAAATTGAACCACAAGGTCGTTATCATTTCCATCATTTTTGATTCGTCATCTGTAAAGCGAGCTAATGGAAATAAATGCTCGTGAACTGGAAAAAGGTACTGGATCTCGTCATGATGAGCCACTCCGTAAACAGAAGTATAATCTCCATAGAATTTTGTGTAGGAAATTTCACTTTGATGGGTCAAATGATAGTGATATATTGGGGCAGTAGTCAAGAGAGCATGTTCATGTAGTGCTTTATGGTTGGCGACGTTGAATAATGCATCCGAGTACATCTGTAATGAAAATAATGATTTGAAAATCCAATGGGTCGACGGCATAATGCGATTTTTCAATTAAAAAAAAACACTCACTGCTGTTACATCAAGTTTTGTATTATGATCGATCTTCTTATTCTCATCACCTAAATAAAAGTTGCGGAGTAGCTTCGCCATTTTCTTGTATAGAGGTTTCGGACAATTGTCAGCAAATCCCAGAGTTATTGGCGCATACTCATTGAATTTCGCGTTCAGTTCTTCCACAAGTCCTGAGTTCCTGTGCCCGTATATAGCTAAACAAATTCAAATTGAAATGAGAGTATTGTTTAGGAAAAAAAAGGCATAATGCAATTCTATTGATTACATGCAACTCTAAAAATTCCTTCATCCGAATTGGTTCCGACCATCCATGGTACATCAGATCCACTTTTCATATGCTCCATTTCCGAGGGCTCTACCGTTAGAAAAGCACCTGAATGAGTCGGTTCTGCCACTGGTCTGAATGGCATAATGGGATCGAGATCGAAAATCTATAATCCATAACCCAGAATATATCATTTATTGCACAACTTCTGATTATTTTTTCTTCATGTCTATAAATACCGGCCATTCCAATTCAACAGCGGCCATCTTCTTAGCGTCTATTTTTCTCAAGCATTTTAACATTTTTTCCGTGTTTCCAATGGGACAATGAAGATCTCTGGCCAGCCTTCTGGTGGATTTCATGGCCATTTTATAGGTGTTAAATGCCCAGGGATTTCTTACCGTTCCGCTTTGAGAAATGGCCCGATGGAAAAGACCTACAGATATCATTCTCATATAGCTTGGGAAAAAAAATTCAATATAAGTTATAATACCTTTGGCTAGGGGACTGAGCATTAAATAATGAACACTAGCAGCTCCCACACCATTTCCAAATATTGTAACACTCTTCGGATCACCTCCGAACACCTCAATATTTTCCTGCACCCATCTCAATGAATGGACTTGGTCCTTCAATCCCATATTACCCGGAATTACCGTATCTCCCGTGCTCAAGAAACCGAAAGGCCCAAGTCTTTGGTTCCCATAAAAAAAAATAATACTGTTTCAATGTATTCACCATTGACAATATTGGCCATATGGCGATATTAATAATTCATTACCTATAATTAACTGTAATTAAAACTAAATCATTATTGAGAAGAAATTGAGGACCATAATGGAGAGAGTGGCCCGAGCCAGTAGACCATGAACCTCCATGAAACCAGACCATCACTGGATATTTTTTATTTGGCCCTTCACTTTCATACTCCATTTTAGGTGTATAGATGTTCAAATAGAGACAATCTTCGTCTCCTATGATATAATTCTTTTGGAAGTAAACGTTCTGATGGATGCATTTTTTTCCATCAAATTTTGTATAGCGAATTTTGGACCACGCGGGAGAAGGCTGTGGTGGCTGCAATTGAAAAATTTCGTTGGCACGGCGGACTTGATGTAATAATAATGATATCCAATTTTTTAACCAATTTTATAAGAACTTACCTCAAATCGCCACGGACCGATCGGAGGAAGAGCATAAGGAACTCCTCTAAATGCTGCGAATTCCCTTCCACTACTTGATTTCATTGTCATACCCATGATAGTTCCATTTTTAAGGTTTACGGTATGAGAGGCGAAAATTGTATGGGAGGAAAATAAAATCCATGTGAATATTTTTACAACGATCATTGATGCGTCCATTATTGAGACCAAGTGGCTTATGCTAGTCAGACAATATCACTACAGAGTCAGTATATGTTAGAGCTGATGTGGTCGAACTCTGCGATAAACTCAGGACGTTACGGAAGGTAATTACAGCGATATGAAAAATGTTTTATGATACAAAAACTAGGTGAATACATCGGTTGACATTTCTATCTTTATTTACGGTCACGAGAATTAATCTATCATATTTGTTATAGAAAACTTTACTGTGGTCTCATCAATTGTTATTCACATCAATGAAATATTAGATGTCTTTCCGAATAGTATTGCTTAGCAGAATTGTATTTACATTACATGTCCAACTGGGATATATAAATGGTAACGGATCTTAGATATCTTTTTCTTCTCCTCCTATAACGGATAAGTATTACTGAATCGTTCTACCATCACATGTTATCACATATTATTTACATGGAGATTCTTCCATATTAGCTTGATATAATTTTCAGAAGGAAGGTACGTATTATGGTAATATTATGTAGTAATTAAAATTAATCTTGTTTTGTTTTGTCGCTCAACGACATCGAATAACTGATCATAGAATGATTTACACATGTAAGTGATTGTTTCGGGGAGCAAGTCCCACGGGACAAGGCAAACTTTCCCAGAAATGGAAAGTGCCTTGATGTAGATTTTGTACCATTCTCATGCTCGAAGGGCCCTCAATAAGTAATTGCTCGAAGGCATTTGAATGAACAGGTTCCCAATGAGCTGGATATTTTTCATCAACGGGTGTTGGAGTCCTGGAAAATTAAATTGTTCATTTTGATGGTTTTATATATTAAAAAAAAAAAATTTGGCCTTGCATTTTTGATACTCACCCACTGCTTGCAAAATTATACCACAATGATGTCATAATATCCACCATTTGATAATCTTCATCGGAATATGGACTCGGAGCTTTGACATCGCGAATCGGAAAGAGGTATTGAAGATCATCAGCGTGACAAACTCCATAGTCTCTGGTGGCATCGCCAAGGAGTTTAGACCAAGACCAGCTGCTTTTGTATTGGAAATAATAGTAATAGATTGGACTTTTCAAGTGTTTCAGACTCTCTTTAACGGATACGGCGTGCCCATACATAAAATAAGCATCGGAATTCAGCTAAATGGATAATGAAAAAAAATACATTATTTTTTGGTTGTTTGTGAGAAAATATAAATGAAAAAAATATATCCATGTGAATGCTTACATCGATCAAATTAAACCTCGTGAGTTCGTCGATCCGCTGATCACCGAAGTAGAAGCGCCGTAGCTTAGCCGCTACATCCTGCTGCTGTTCCGGTGAACAGCTCTCGTCGAAAATCAGAATGTATGGAATAATGGCAGAAAATTGTTGATCGATAAATTGTACACCCTGGGATCCCTGAAGTCCAAAGAGGGCTACAAATAGATACGATGAACTAATTGTTAATCCGATTGAAAAGCGGAGGAAACATATGAAATGAAATGTCTCTGCAAGACACGAGACATACGAGCTACTGCCAGTGAGCCTTCATTCGCATTGACACCATTCAACCAAGGCACATCAGCCATACGTCCATTCCTCAAAGTGTCGAGAGGTTCTTCAATGAAAAAAGCTCCTGGGTGCTCCGGTTCGATTACAGGTTTGAAGTGGGGTAATAGAATAGACTCTACTAAAAGCCAGCTTTGAGAAATCTCAATAATCTCCTCAGCGGGTTTGGTCCGAAGACAATTGATCATTTCCTCAGAATCGCTTGTTGGACAATTGAGAGTAGCACCGAGCTTGAAAGCTCGTTCCTTGGCAGTTTTTTGTGTATTTATTGTCCAAGGATTGAGGCTAGTGCCACTCTGAGAAATAGCTCGGTGGAACAATCCTGCAAATCACACGGAATATCTTCACTCGTTCGATTCATCAATTGTCACATAGATGATGTAAGTAATGCGATAATGTAATACCTCGCGTGAGCGGACTCATAATGAGATGATGCACGCTAACTGCACCAGCACTTTCACCGAAAATTGTTACGTTATCTGGGTCACCTCCGAAAGCCGCGATATTCTCTTGCACCCATCTCAACGACTGCACTTGATCCTTCAAGCCTTGATTACCGTACGCTGCGCTGTCCGCGGTACTGAGAAAACCAAAAGCCTCAATCCTGACGGATCAGGCAACATTTTTTCATGATTTTTTCATGATTAAATGATCCTTGAACGATGAATTATAAAAATTATAATAAATGAGGCTTACCTGTAATTCATTGTAACAAGGACGATATCATGATCGAGAAGGAATTTGGGACTGTAGAGACTAGAGTGGCTCGTACCAGAGTAGAATCCACCACCATGAATCCAAACCATTACTGGATATTTTTTTGATGATTTGCTGGCATGATAACGGGTCTCAACCGTGTAAACGTTGAGGTAGAGACAATCTTCGGTCATCCGATTATCAGGATCGATGCTGAATATTTCGTTTTTGGCTTGGAAACAGATGGGAACATCCTCAGTGGCAGATCGAACTCCACTCCATGCTTCGGCAGGCTGTGGAGGCTACAAAATATTGTTCCAATGGAGTGATGAGAATGAGGTGATGCCTATAATAAAATAGAAAGGATAAAATGAAAAATTTACCTGAAATCTGAGATGACCGACGGGTGGAAGAGCGTAAGGAATATTCTTGAAGGCAGCGATTTGTCGCCCCTTTCTTGTTTGAACGGTTGTACCTTCGAGCGTTCCATTTGTAATATTGACTAGGAGGGAAGGTGTTCCTGCGATGAGATTGGCCCACGTCGCAACAAGGAAATTCACTATCAAACCGACGGTATTCATGATTGTGTGACTTCTATTGAGGCGAGGTATATGCTCACGAGCGTATCACCAAATAAAACTGCTTGGAGTGGTCATGCACACATGGGCGTTATATAGGTATATTGGCGGGGGGAGGGAGGTGAATCGCCACACATACCCGAATTGGAAGGAAGAAAATCTCAATTATGTGACTGGTTTCTTCTTTCTCTGTGATTGACGATAAGGAGGGAGTCTCCTGTTCTCATCGCATGTACTTACATTGCCAATGAGGTGATACCGTATCGCTGAATGAAATTATGATCTGAGATTAGGAATGTGGATGGTACCATCACGTGGAGGAAGTTCATAATCTGGAGCTATAAAATAGACATATATTTTTGCCGTTACTTCGACTTTACTGGAAAATTTATTCCCATTCGTCAGCCCAAGGATATTTACAGAGTCGAGGAGGCTTAATCAAATTCAATGATGCTTCCAACCAATCATAAAAGTTTTAAAAATCATTTATTTTTCTATGATCTACGAAGAAATAAAGGTCGGTTTGCAGGGGAAATTCTTTCGATTCGAGGAGACAATTGGTCACGGAAATGCTGGCAAATCAGGACTCGATAAACGGGCCGAGCATAAACCGTGCGGATTAGTGTTGCAAACATTTTACCTACGTCAACAGGGATGATTGAGGCGAATCAGCTCTCAATTTACTTAAGGTATGCCCAGGAAGTCTGATTATTGCACATTATAATTTATTAATACTTTCATGTGGATACATATCCATTGTAATTTAAGGAATTATTGATAATCATATTCTCTTTGACGTCAACGCAACATGTATACATGTTTGTTTACTAATGATAACTTCTTGAGCACTCTCACGGTGTTTTCAGTTGTACTTCACATCCATATACGCAAAACCTCAGGTCATTTAAAAAATACTATTATCCCCATCCCATTATCCCCAGACTTCTCATTCAAATGGCTTTCATCCAATTTTTCATCCAATTGTCTCCGCGCACACGATCCATTCCCGATTCTTCATTCTCATGCTCTCGATGTGTCTGATAAACGTTAACCACTCATTCATCTTCCTTCCAAACCCGGACTCCGCCGAATAAAGCGATTAGAGTTCACCTGCAGCGCAACGACTCCAACTCAATCTTTCTTAATTAAAATTATCAAAAAAAATATCATCATTAATTGACACGCCCTTCGCTGTCTATCCTTGACACGTGTCTTCAACGAACTTCAAACATCACTTTCATCAACAACTTATTTCCACGTGTCTCACATGACCTTCGACCGGTGTAACATCACATGCGATTGATATTGGAATTCAAATTAGCTTATCTACTCAGATAGATTGCACGTAGGAAATCAACACATTGATAGAGCATTCCATGATGTTCTGCGTACAGTTCAAAATGTCAGGTCGTACCTGAACATCTAAAAATTTGAAGGATCAACGTATTTGTAGAGGCGCAATTTCCATAGGCTGTTTACCAAATTCCTTAAAGCTTGAGTAATGTCGTTTTAATCATATTCCCTACTTTAATTTCTAACCAGTTTTTATTTTATTCAAATACTATATATTACTATAATTGGGTTAATAAAAATAATGTACTGTGTGGCTTTGTCGTATGCTCAAATGATTGTTTTATTTTGGAGGTTTTCAGGCTTGTAGGAGTTGGAATGATGATATTCTAGAAGGAACCGGTCGTAGCAGTCTCTCATTTTATGGAAAGCATTGGTATAGGCTCAGGTACAGGTTTTATATAGTTAATCTAAGTGTTACGCCGTCTGTTTAATGAAGACAGGCCAGCCCGACAGGGGAAGTTAGACCACAGGTTGAGCACGTTTTTAAACATATCTTTGGACATCTCAAAGTTTGTGGGACTCGTAATGATGAAGTTCTCAAGTGAATTGGTGCTGGCAGGCTCCCAAAGGACGGGAAGCTGTGACGTCCGTTCAGGTACCGGTTTGCTACCGACAAAAAAAAAATGTAATTTTTTTCTAAATCACGATTAATCATTGGGAATCTGATAATTAAGCATTTCTCCTGGCCCTACCCAAATCTCGCAAAATTGGTCCATAAAGTTGTCATCGCATCAACCATCTGAAAGTCACTGTCACTCATTGTACCACTGGGGAAAATAATTTGATTGACTGGGAATAGATACATAAGTTCTTCACCATGACCGACACCATAATTCCTCTGAGGATTTTTGCTAATTGTAACATTCTTCACATCTCCATTATAAGCAAAATAATAGTAATAAACCGGGCTCACTGCATGGACACGCTCCTGCACAGAAGTTGCGCTGCCAAAAATGAATGCCCCATCAGAAGTCATCTGCAAAAAAATATATCGATTCTACTCAAATGGCCAAAATTAATCAGGGAGGAGACAAAAAACACAATTACATACATTCACTACATTCTGGATTGTTGATATATCGATTTTTCTATCGTCAAAGTAAAATTCTCGGATTCTTCGTGACGTTTCCGTTCTGGATGCGTTGGAACAACCAGTGGTGTACCCAAAAAGTAATGGAAAGATTTCTACAAAATGGTCATTCAACGCCGCATAATCGATCATCGCATTTTTACCATAAATATCTGAAATTAAAAAAAAAAAAAACAGTCATGTTCATAGGGGAATGAAAGAGAAAACACCAATTTTGAGGTCAGGAGAAAATTATTCTTAACTTAGAATACTAACTATCTGCAAAGAGAGATCCCTCTGCGGAATTAACCCCGGTCAACCAAGGAACGTTTGCGAAGGCGTGACGTTTCGATAATTCATTTGGGCCGTCAGTTAGAAAAGCGCCAATATGTCGCGGTTCGGCAATCGGGCGGAATGCAATTAATAAATAATCAAGTGCTGGCCATGTTCCCGGAATAGCGGTTATTTCTCTGGGATCTTTTGTCCGCAAACATCGGAGAAGTTTTTGGGAGGAATCAGTGGGACAATTGAGCTCCCTACCAAGACGATGAGCATTTTCACGTCCCATTGTAGCTGTACTGAATGTCGAAGGGTTAAGAGCAGTGCCACTCTGAGAAATGGCCTGATGGAAGAGTCCTGGATTTTCAGTTAGAAAAATTCAATGAGTATAGTTAATAAGGATAACGTAGCCCATATTTTGAGATTATTATTACTTTCTTGCCTTTAGCGAGTGGACTCAACATGAGATAATACACACTGATGGCTCCAGCACTCTCACCCATTATTGTCACTTTATTTGGATTACCACCAAATACTGCAATATTTCGTTTAACCCAGCGGAGGGCTTGTACGTGGTCCTTCAAACCGTAATTTCCTGGGATCGTTCTGTCTGCTGTACTCAGAAACCCGAGAGGCCCCAACCTATCGATATTTTCAATGAGTTTCTACCCTACCAAGTCATTCAATAATTTTCTATTTGATACCTGTAGTTCATGGTAACGAGAACAATGTCATGATCAAGGAGGTATGTCGGCCCATACATAGATGAGTTACCCGACACCCAACTTCCACCATAAAACCAAACCATGACAGCGTAGCGTGAAGCATTTATTTCCATAGGCTCTGGTAAATTCGGGGTGTACACATTTATGTAAAGACAGTCTTCGGAACCTAGGGTCGTCATATTAGGGGAATTATCAATTTTCTGAAGACAACTATCTCTTTCACGCTTAGCAAGGCGAACCCCGGTCCAGGGCGTCGGGGGTCGGGGTGACTGAAATCAAATATTTATCAGTATTGAACAATAGTTATTGTTTTAAACAAATCCGGTATTTCACCTGGAATCGCAAGATTCCTACTGGAGAGCGAGCGTAGGGAATTCCCCTAAAGGCATTGATCGCTCTCCCCTTTCTCGATCGCAGAATAGATCCTTCTAGTATTCCATCGCTAATTCTTACTCTGGGTGCAGCAGAAATTATTGAAATCCATAATGGAATCAGTACCAAAAGCAAATTTCTTGAAAAAATATGCATGTTCAATTCAGACGAAATTATTCTCCAGATAAACTGAGTCACTGAGCTACGTGCAGTTACTTTTATACACAAAGCACCTGCACAATTTGCAAGTCAACCACAGTATTATTTTAACAATGTGTTACTTTATTCTTAACAATATTTCCCTCGACAATACATCATTATAAAGATTAAATTTTTTGTAGGATTGCCTGCTTTCCTTATTGCTAAGACCCCAGACTGGCTTGGATTGCCTTATCTGCGTTGAATAAACAGTGTCATTCTAATGAAAACAAATAGGTGATTGCTGTGATTGCTCACGGTTGTCTGTCTTGGAATTGAAAAAAAAAAAAATCACCATACCTGTTGGCAAGTGGTCTAGCATTTTTGCGGAATGAAAATGACTTTGTGCGTTCAATGTATTTTTCAGAGATAATTTTTTTATTTATTCACAAAGAGACAAAATACATTTTATTTTAATTCATATATGTCACACCAAATTTGCTGTACGTGAAAGCCCAGCACGACAGCGAAAACTTGACCACAGATTAATCATATCTTTGAAAACATCTTTTACCATCTTCATACTCGTAGGACTTTCGATAGAGAACATCTCGAGTGCATCAGTTTTTACGGATTTCCATTGGGCGGGAAGTATTGATGACACACAGGGAACCGGCTTGCTATTGTAGACACATCCATTATTTTATGTAACTCCAGTGGATTCACATAATTTCTTCATCACTTACCCAAATCTCGCAAAATTAGTCCATAAAGTTGTCATCACATCAATCATTTGTAAGTCTCTCTGACTCATTGCACCAGTAGGAAATAGAACTTCATGAACTGGGAAGAGATATAAGAGTTCATCAGCGTGCGAGACACCATAGTCTCTTGAGGGGTCAGAAAAAGCGGAGTAGCTCAAGGTGCCCCTGTATGCAAATTGATAGAAATATACTGGACTCTTTGCACTTTGCCGATGTAATTTTGCGGCCGTGGCGCTAGCGAATTTGAACACTGAGTCAGAAATCATCTGTAATATGAAGATTAAAATAATCAATGATGCAAATGGCAGTTGAAAATGTTTTTTTTTTTTCAATCTTCATACATCAACTACGTTCATCCTGGTGGAATCATCAATTTGCCTGTCACCAAAGTAAAATTGACGCATTCTTCTTGTAATATCATCGAGAAGTGATGTTGAACAGTCTCTGTCCAATCCATTGGCTAAGGGCGCAAGCTCCGTAAATTCGTTATTCAAACGTCTGACATTGGTTTGATTAGGGGATGCATAAAGTGCTATAATTTTTAAAAGTCAATTAAAATTAAAATTCTTGAAATACGGTCCATCCGTACTAACCGCCAGCAGCAAGGGCTCCTTCATTAGCATTGACACCATTCAGCCATGCCACATCAGCAAATTCTCCGCGTTCCATCAATTTTCCAGGCTCATCTGTCAAAAATGCCCCCGGATTTGAAAATTCTATCACTGCACGAAATGGTAGATCGGGCCCTCCATTGAAGATCTAATGAGAATGTTCAATTCGTAAGTAATACAACGGATAAATCGTCTTATGATTGTAAATACCGGCCAATCTGAAGGCTGCATCATTACGTCACCGGCATCTTTTGTGCGGAGGCATTGAAGAAGGTCTTGCGAAGTATCAGTAGAGCAATTGAGTTCTCTGGCAAGACGATGGGCATTCTCTCTCGCTGATTTCGCTGTATGATATGGCCATTGATTTATGGCCGTGCCACTCTGGCTAATCACTTGGTGGAAAAGTCCTACTCCAAGAAAAAAATAATGTGCTTGAGACAATAAATCGCATGAATTTTGGAGCTCGAAATGTCTCATCACCTCTTGCCAGCGGACTTAAAGTAAGTAAATGCACGTTTGAAGCCCCGAAACTTTCTCCAAAAATTGTTACTTTCGCCGGATCACCGCCAAATGCCCCAATATTTTCTTGAACCCACCGGAGTGCCTGAACATGATCTTTCAAGCCGGCATTTCCGGGGATAACGCTATCTGCTGTGCTCAAAAGACCCAATGGACCCAGCCTACGAAAAAATACCATTAATTTATCATTGACAACGGCACACAACTATTTTCATTGATTTGTATTACCTGTAATTCATGGTGACGAGAACAATGTCATGATCGAGTAAGAATTTTGGTCCATAGAGTAAAGAATGACTGGAACCATCGACACCCCCGCCATGGGACCATACCATGACAGCATAATTATTAGAAGCATGCCTCTTATTCCTTCTTGGCAATTGCGGAGTGTAAACATTAATGAAGAGACAATCTTCTGAGCCAGTTGATCTCAAATTCGGATTATCGTAATTTCGTTGAACGCATACCGATCCATCAGTCTTGGCTGAGCGAACTCCAGTCCAAGATGTGGCTGGTTCAGGGGCCTATTGCATAACGCCCTCACTTATTAACTTTTTTTTTCTCAAATAATATAATATCAATATTGATGCGGCATTTCCGTTACTCATTACGATTTTATAAATTGTCTAGTTCATCGAATTGTTTTTCAGAGTTATTTACGGAACAATAAATCAAGCCTCCCACCATGTTGACACAAATGGCGATTCGGGTAATCGCTATCTATTTTTTTTTTTTTTCAATTATGCTTCCATCCCACATTTGTCATAATCAAATAATTATGAATAATTTCCCGATGAAAGAAGAATGTATTTGTAAATTATACATGAATGTGAAGAATTCATACGCGAAAATTATAATTTTTTTCTAAAACAGAGGAAATTAGTATTCACCTGGAAACGTAATTCTCCTATAGGTGGACGGGCATAAGGAATTCCTCTGAAAGCCAAAAAATCTCTGCCCTTCCGCGATTGTAGGACAGACCCTTCTAAAGTTCCATTTTTAATTGTCACTCTTGGTGTAGCAGATACTACAAAAATACAGATGATTACGAGGAGTGGTACTACGAGATATATTTTCATGGCTAAACAGTTGTGAATAATCCTCAAGAACAAACTGAGCTCGTGAGTTCATCCGAGCCCCTTTTCTTACCCCCAGCTCTGCAATTAGATTAACTTCTCTTTCTCAGTAAATGCGGAAAGTAAATAAGGAAAAAAATGTTCAGTTATATTCCACCATTTTTTCCTCATTCGCCAGAGTCGGGTTTTCCACGGATATTCTTATCACGAGGCATGACATAATCACTACTCGGTTTAAATTTATTTTAAAATATTTACACTTTTGCTGAAATTAAGTTTTTGCAGGGTGGCAGGTGTATGAGCAAATTAAAAACATTATCCCTTGCCTTAGAAAAACAATATAAAAATCCAATGAAATATTATTATCGAATGAATAAGTGGTAACATCGTACCATCAAAACTAAACTACGCTATTGCGTCGCATATATTAATCTACTTGCAATTGCAATATTTTATGTAGAAATCTGAAAGAATTATAAGACGTGCATATTTTTCACAGCACTACTCGTATAATTTTCTGAAAAATTCCACTTGCGCACCATTATTACGCTTGATTTATTTATTTTTCAAGAGTTTATTGTCTAACTTCATTAATATTTGATTTTTTTGATATTGATATTTTTCATGAAAAGTTCAAGTCTATTTGATAATTTCGATTTTCTATTGAACAGCTCTGATTGCGTACAGAATTTCTCTTTATCGACGCCGAGAGAATGATTTCATGTGTTGAGCGACCAAAAGATGGTGTTTGTAACTTGGATTCAAATACCAGAAACAGCTCAAAAAAAAATCTACTAAATCATCTCATTTTCCAGAATTTCCTTGGGAATTATGACATAACTTTTGGCAGTTGCCGTGGTCATTGTTGACTCACGTTGGGAGATCAGATCATTGTTGGAGCATTGGGGTGGCTTTTCATTGCTCCTCCAATGGGGCGCTTCACCCCTCGTATGTGTGAACCATCAGACCGCACCGAATCACACGCCATTTTGTAAATTTACTAATACGAATAATGAGAATTACGTGGTTATTGTAAAAAAAAATTCCTAAAACACGTGGAAATATGAATTTTAACAAATATTTGGTGAAAAAATTTTTACAGTGAATTTGTAAAATTTTTTATCTCCCTATTATTATTGAATTCCTTGAAAACCAATAGGCTGCACGATTAATCGATATCGGGTCAAATTTTCGAATAAATTTTTTGATGTGCATTACGCTTGAATGTGTGAAAAAATGAATTAATGATAAAAAAAAGTGATGGAAGGGTGTGAGGAAGTTTGACGGTGTTGCCAAAGGCAACGCCTTCCACTCGATTACCGTCGGGGCCAAATACCATTTACACCACTTTTACCTGTTACCTTCTGGAAAAAGCTGCCTCACATTTTCCGAAAAATTACCTGCCAAATATTGCCCTCTTAAGCACTACACACTATATTTTCCAATTCTCACCTATATAAGTTGAAAAAATTTAAACAAAAGATTTATTCGAGATGTGAATGTATATTAATAAAATGAAATACGAGAAGGGGTGGAAAGTAGGGGGACAAAACCAAAAGAAGGAAGAGGAGAAGACTTTTCTTGGGTACAACGACTTCAATGGCATTTGAGAGGGGGTTCATCGACCCTTCTAGGCCTCGGAGAAAATTCTATGGGAACGGTAGAACAACCCCCTTTTTATCCACCAGGGATGAGCTCTCCCTTTTTCTCCGCACGCTGTATGTTAGCAGAGTTCAACGGATATCTCAAGCTTTCCCCATCCAGCCGATACCGCCAAATCATAACGCCATTAAATTTTCATTATTTAAAAAAATTATTGAGACCTTACAAGCTATTAGAATACCATTGACCAAATGCAAAAGAGTAGAAATGTGTTGACCTAAATTCTAGTGGGGTAACGACCCCATATTATTGTCGGAAAGAAGGATGAATATCCGAGGGCAAACCCTTTTCGGTGTCGTTTCTTCGCTAATCCTATTCGTGTACAGATGTATGTTTTTTTCTTTTTCATTTCTACAATTCCCATTGTTCTAGGACATGGAGAAAAATATGCGGATACCCTTTTTGAGTTGGGTATAACAAACGAGTGGAAACTGGGTCGTCTTACCTGGGTCACAAGATGAAATTCAGGATGTTTCGATGGGTCAGAGAGGCACGATGGGAAATACAGTGAGCAATGAAATACGACAAAAATTTATCTTTTCATTAACGGGTTTTCGATGATTTATATGCAGAAGATTTCTACCTGTAATGGCACACAATTGAGGACTGTGCAGAGTTTCTCAATTAATTGCTGGCTCAAATAGGAAAAAAGTTGAGAAACTCTGTTATATCCTGGCAAGGGTGAATGTGTATTCGACCTAGTACACGAGGCGCAATGGAGAGATTTCTCGTTAGTCATTCAGTCCATTCAACCCCTTTCCCTTTCCTCGCTCTCCCCCCACACCATCTTTTTTTTTCTTTTTTTTTTCTCTCAACTGGCAGCAGCTTCCGGGACGATTCGATGAACTTGTAGGTTCAAGGACCAACTTACATCACCAGTTGTTCCTATGATTTTGTCCTTTATGAGGCTTTTTTTCCTATACAAAAATATTTCATTTGGCCAATTTTTCAAGCGCTCATGTCAGATATTTCTACTATAGGAGGGAATAAATTTTAAGATAAAAATTCGAGATATTTAGGACGATTTTGTGGAAGGGTGGGTTACTGGGTATCGAATACCACCCCGGATTGCCGTTGGCTCACTCAACGAACCCTAAATCAACTCATTTCTTAGAATCCAAAGGCGTAGACTCACTCTCACTATCTAATAATGAAGGACAAGAATTTATATCCTCACTACCTATTAGACAGGCGCTAATATTTATAATATTTCGCCATGACATTTGAAAAAAATCAATAATTATTGAACCGTTGCCGAAATCTGAATACTAAAAAATATATAACAGCAGCAATGGAGAATATGAGTATTGAATTTGATTTTTTCCACGGATATGACGAAACCGGAGAAGGGAAGGCCGGAACCAGCCAAGCGCCATTTCATGTAGCTCGCACGTGTTCTCTTGAAGAAAAAAAAAAAATCCAAAGGGGGAAGGGAGTCAAGTTTTAAAATATGCCGGTGGAAAAATATGTATAGCTAGGTAGACAAAGTAAGACGAAGCGAGAGTGAAAAAATTTTCCCAATGCTTAAAATATGAATGTAAAGTTCGAAGGGGTAGCTGTTGGCGCGCTTTTCGTCGCACCCCATGGCTTCGAGTGTAATTGGTTCCACTGATGGCAGCCATCTTGTTCATGGGCGTGGCACAACGATATTATTGCCAGGGGTGAGTCACCCCTCGTGTAAAATCTCATGTACATCAACTCTCCACAGTACTTCAGGCATTTTTTCCCCTCTCATTTTTCCCACCCACCCACACACGACTCAACGGTCTCTTCCTTCATTCTTCCCATCTTTTTTCCTCTCATCATTTTTATTTTCTCCTTGAAATCTCAGTCTTTATCTTTTTCACATTTCATGGGATTCCCACTTTCATATTTAAATCCTTGACGGAATTAACATTGGAGAAACCGTTTTAATTAATCAGTTGATTGGGTTGGGGATTGCGAGCGTTGGTGGAATTGTACAGGGAACGCCAAGAACAATTCATCCAACTTTCAAAGGAAAACTTGAATTTTTTTTTTTTTTATGCATATGTTGAGAACCGTCATTTTTCGAATGATCATTTCTCGATAGGTACAGAAATGTGGAAGATGAAATGATTCTCGTATGTTGGACAATTTCACCCTGACCGATTCTCAATAGATACAAATGACAGTGCGATATGGCGTGGATTAACAATCAGTACGATCCCCTTCTCCAGAAAATGAGTTTATCATGAATATAAACCAAGGTTAGTTTCCATCATATCAAAATTCGAGGGATTGTCACTCGGTATCAGTAGAATGTTGAAGATAAATAAAGAAAGACAAGTTGGAAGCCACATTCTCGCCGATAGGTTTCTTTTGTTGACATCCGGTGTTAACAGAATGCAGGTTTTTTTCCCTGCTGATTCAACTATTACAGCCTCAAGCTCAAAATAAAGAAATTTATGTGAAGAAATTTCATCAAATTCTCTCCACCATTTTTACAAATTTAACGGCATAACTGACAAAACGATCACCGAATTAAAAATAGGAGGGAATTAATTATGTCAAAAAAAGGGGTGAAATATAAGAAGACATTTGGGATTTCCGGCAGGTGGAACAGAGACAGAAATATCAAAGAGAAACCGGCGGTGGTTGGATGAAGTTTCAATTGATTTTTTTTTTACTCCAACAAAAAATTTCGAAAAAATTGAGGTTCTAACGAAAAAAAAAAAAAACAAAAAAAAAACAATTGTTGAAAAGTTTTTACAATGGTATTGGAATTACTTATTTATATGCCCCCGAGAATGTGAAAATGGAGAATGAAAAAGTGGCACTATATATGGAAGTTTCCCTAACGGAAAGTTGGTAAGTACAATAATTTGCCATCTGTCCTATTGAAAAACCTATCGAACCCAACGATTTTTCCCAGCTGCAGCTGCCTGTATCGATTGTCTGGATAATCCTCGTTGGGTCTGAAAATAGACTGTGGAAGTTGTAGGTAAAGTTGTGTCGCACGACAAAACCTTTCCTCCACCCGAAAAAGAGGAGATTTTTCAAGAGCCTCGGTACCTCATTCTTATTGGGCTGTGGATCCCCTCAACAGATCCTGATGTGAATCTCTAAAGATGAGAAACGTGATCAAAATTACGAGGGCTCTCTTGTTTAAAGATAAATTTTGCCTCTCTCTCATTGAGTGAAGGAAGAAGAAGGAGCAGGAGAGAAGGAAGCCCTGATGGAGAATACCATTTCCCTTCTGCTGATTTAACACGGAAAACTTGGAATCCATGAGCTCAATCGAACTTCCTTCATTCATCATTTAAAACAATCAAACTCGGAATGATCAAGTGAAGAATGAAGAAATTTTTTGGATATTTGCTGATGTTTTTGGAGGATTTGATTGAAAATTATGTTGGTGAAAGATGCAGTGTGTAATATTTATGAGATCGATACCAAATTGGAGTATAAATTTTGGTTTGTGCATGGCGGCTGGAAGAAATGATGAGCGTATTAATGTCGGCCACATTACACATGAGGCGTTGCACTTGTGGGTAAAGTGCATTACCCCCCACCACATGAAATAGAGGCAATGAGGACCCCTGGGTTGAATGCTTCTCTCCCTCTACATGCATTGGACCCCTCCAATCGGCTGAAGCTCTTCGTGTGATTCGCGATGCAAGGCAGTGTGTGCATACCAACATGCGTCTCTCAACCGTACCACTGCGAAAAAGTGTGGGCTTACATTGAAGAGAATAAGAGGGGAGGATG